GCGACGTTCAATTCGTCATAGAAACTCAGGACGGAATAGAATTGGCCGTTTGAAATGCATCACTTGTTTTAGCTAGTTTACTTGACATTATCTCAGCTAAATTCGTAGCTGAAGTTGAATATTTTCTTCCAGGAACTGTATCGTGATCCCAATTCCGTTGCACAAGTTGGAAATGAGCAGCGACTTTTTACTGTTGATTGGGTAACTCGATATGGGTACATAAAATGCGGTTAATTGTTCATATGTGGTGTGGTTAATATTAGCCATAATATAACAAATGACGTCTACCATATCTCAGGTTTAATTCACTCAGACTTGTATTGTCATAATTGAACCACACAGTCTGATTTTGTAAGTTGAATGCATTTGTACCTAAGAAGCCAGTTGAACCTTCGTTGTACTTTTAGATTTATCACATAGCTGGAATTATGTTGGCAACTACTCTTTTCACGTGAATATAACATAATTGTATGTTCTGTAGTCTTACACTAGAATCATCATCCTTAACTTTGATTTCACCGTAGGTTAACTTTTGAACGCGCCTCAAAGCTAAGCTTTAGCTTTGATACAAATTTTGGAAACTGTCCTCGTTATGTGCACTGTTGTGATCCATCCTTGTATTCCTGTATCGCTAGGAGTGTACTATTGTTATAACGATAAATGATAATTCATATCTGTTAGGTTCGACGGAGGCAACAACCAAGAGATATATTATGAAGTTTTTACGATCAGATCGCATTAGTTATGAACATCTTCTCATTTCTTAGCTCAAGGATAGTATTTCATTCTGCGTCTAAGAATTTATCCGAGCCACGTATTTCTTTGCTTTGCTTTACGTGCGTTGCTATTTTCTATCTCTAAAGTTCATTACTTTCCTCCATTGGTATCGTTTCAAGCGATATATCATAATCAACTGGTTTTTTCAGCCGTTAGGTGATCTCGCACATTCTTCTTTTTTATCAGATGATTAATCGAAAAATCTCAATAATTTTGCCAGTACTGTTCGATTTGTCTTAAAGTCGATTTTGCAGTGTGGGTTCAAACCTTAGTCTGTAGAATGGCAACACAGACGTTGCGGGCGCTTTTCTCGCTTTAATGCTAGCGATTACCAGAGTCCTTTCCCTGTATATGTTAATGCTGACTGCATGCTTGCTGTCGAGGAATTTCCAAAGCATCATGCCGTGCCATTTCCACGAAACTTGTGTGCATAACCTTCCGAGTTTGGATCTTCCAATTTGATTGAGCTAGCTGATCTTCGCCGGGAAGCAGAGACTAGGCGTGGCATGAATTACTTTCATTGTAGACTAAGAACCTATTTCAGTAATTATCGGCCTAGAAAAGACTTTTCTATGCGGTCATAGGAAAACTATCGTTCATGGCCATGCATAGAGATCGGTTATGGTCGGCAGATGTATGAGGCGTCCGTCGATACATTACTGTGCGATAGCCCAGTTCAGTTAGATGGCGAGCAATGGTGCTACGGCCGCATTTACATAACTGCTCGACATCCCTTATTCTAACATCCTTTATACATCTTTATAGCGCAGATCGTTATCGCCAATGGTGACTGGCCTTCCTTAATAAGGTTGACTGGGACAATTTTTGTCGCTTTCTTCAAGACGCTTGAGCCATGATTCATGGTCCGATCGGTCGTAGTGCCTGCCCGAAAGCAGCGTCTGCCGTCTTCCTTACACTGATCTTCAACATACATCTGGAAAAGCAAAATCGAGCGTAACTGAATCTCACTCATTTTGACCCTCAGTAATTTAAGTGACCTAATTCGCTACAGTTATCGTGAGCAATGCAAAACTCGTAATGTCCATTGAGCCGCGAACTCTCTGCTTTCTTTGTCTACAAAATACTTCCTAGAATACTATGTGGCTTACGCGTGGCAATAAAAATCGCTCATCCAGTTAGTATGAAATCGGTTTATCAGCGTTCAAGACAGTGTACAACGAAAAATTTTCTTAACATCATCCAATTCTCATATCAACACATTTTACGCATGTTTTACAAAATATGGGAGTGCTTAGTAATGCAGTGTCTTTGTAGGCAGTGCTGTATCGACCCCTACCCCAACAGCTGTGGCAGTCCACGTGGGAACACCTTAGCTCGGTTATCTCCAAAATTAAAGGGAATCTACTCTACAATCATCTAGTACATTCATTAAGCGCATGATTTCCTTAATCAGTAGTCGAGCGGAAGCCACCATGAAAGATTTAGTGACCTCTGAGGAGGGTGAATATGAGAAACCGTATCAGAACAAATGCTGGGGCACGCAAGATAAATCGTGATGACAAGTCACGTCAAATAGAAACATTATACGAAATAATCTATACAAACTTATCTGGAAGAAGAAATCAAAACAGTATGTCTATCTTTGCAGTTCAGATGCTTTATCTTGTCACTAGTGAAGCAGTTCAAGCATAATATTTTCCATAATTAGTTCTCATCTACTAGCATCTATTCGATACGATTGGGCTTCCAAACTTCTAAGTAGTATGTAGAGTACATAGTATCTAATATACTATCTCCAATTCTTGGCCTATTGATCGTCATCATCCAGAAATTGTAATCAGGTACTTAACTACAACATTTAGACCAGATTCCGATAAACTTGAGTTTTACACTAGGCATTTGTATTTCTCTTAATTCACCTGCATCACCTCTCATCCCATTAAGGGTTTAGTGACACGAGCGGGCATCAGCGAAACTTCCACTCGTCCTCAGTGAGTGCATGAGTAGACAAGTGAGTCTTTCTTTCAGTAGGGATTCGTTGATTAGCACATTCTCCTTTTAGGTCTTTTGTAAAGAAACGGACTACCGAGCCCGTTGGTCTGTCGTGGCGCTTTTTTTCTTAACAGTTTATTGGTTAGTACCCACGCTTGTCTTCTTCTCTACATCATCGCAGCAAATTCTCCTCTACTGTGCTCTTTTGAGTGATGCTACGGAGATTTCGATCATTGCTATTTCTGAACAGTTGTTAAAAGGGATCATTAGATGAAACAGAAAGAAACATTCTGCATTCCGTTTATTTTAGAACCACATTCCTTTGATTTCACTGAGCCTTCAGTTCTTCCTGCCATGGTTTCTGGTCGATGATGTGCGTAGAAAGGCAATCGGAATTTTTAAGCACGTTAAATTAGGAAAAGATTCCTCTTGACCAAACTTGAACACAAGATGGAACTGTTTTAAAACTGACAGATGAGGTTTCAGAAACAATTTAGAGAGCCGGAAACGACAAAAAAATGTGCAACAAGCTTTTTTCTTTTGAAGGTACGAAAAAGCTTGACTGGGCGATTTCTGTATCTATTGAGTTCTTTTTTTCCGTTTGGGCATAGAGTCGTCTAGCACATCTACGTACGACGCACCGTTGCTCTTCGCATCCAAAGAAGTATCTGATAAAGTAGTGTGGTGTTTGACGCGACGATAAAATGTTAGGTCCTCTATGATATCTTCCTTTTACCCTGTTCAATGAGGCCCAACCATCAGAAAACGCCGATCATAATCACGGAACTTTTTTATGAATTTATGGCTGAAAAATATCACACACTGAATAAAGTTTTATTCTCTTTCGCAGACAAGGGAAAGGTTGTTGAAAGTGGAATGACATTATTTATTTTTCAAGAACTCAACTATGTTGAGACATATGGGGAACTTCAGACCTTGCGCAGTAATTCAACCCATGTTATCGTTTACGAGTGGGCGTGCTAACCGCTGTTGTTTGAGTCGTCTTTTATACTGCTTTATCTGCACAACTTTCGCACCCAAATAACAGCTTGGCTCTCATTTAACAGAACACGTTATTGAAGAGGAGCTCACAAAACAGTGGTGTATCACGATAATTGAATTGTTACAATTCAATTTACGTCCCATGTATCCGACAGTTAATTACTTCAGTTACCCACAAAGTGTCACTAAGTAATTAAAATGGAAAGAAAATTGTTGGCACTCAATTATCTTTGGTCAACTCTTTTGCACGACAACATCGCATAATTGACTGAGTTCAAGTAAACCGTCCCATCCATCGAACTTATTCTGTTCATCGGCAATCAACAATTACTATTTGAAAGGCATCAATAGCTACTTTCCAAGCTAATCTCCACTAACCATTGTAAAAAAGTAATTTGAACTCCTTGGGACAGCACTTCTTCTTAACAGTGATAGCTTTCATTTTAAAAACCAAGCCTCCTCTAACTTCGTCAGTAAAAGGTAAAGGATAATGCTCCCGGCGTTGATCAATCTCCAAAAGCCTACCATTGTCTCGAGTCAGTGCTGCTTATCTTTTGAGACAAGTCTGGTACCAATTTATCGACACTGGAGGGACGGACACCTTGATGAGCCATGAGCCCGAGATCAAAATCGAACTTATGTGTGAAGCAGGGCACCTCCAACGATTGCTCTACAAACGCTCATTGATCTTGTCAACATCGCTCACTAAATGTTTCTTCTATGATTATGCTTAAAACATAAGGTTAATGACAAACTTTAGTCTGCTAACGTTTCGACGTCATCTTCGCCTTTAGAAGCGACGACTCAGGTCGATCGTACGCCACGACGAACGACTGTGGGCTATCGACTCGATCACAACTCCGGCGTAAACAAAAATGTCGAAATATTAGGTTAAGAAGTTAATCAACAAACTCGCAATATTGACTAGATCATAAAAAGCTAGTACTGATTGACAGTGTATTGGTTTCCAAGAATGCTTCTCAATTTTTCAAAAGTAGGGCGTGATTTCCATCGGTTGACCAGGCGTCACAGTGGTTGGCGCCACAAGAACATTGTCGAATATGAAATGCGCCAGAAGGAACGTTTCTGTAGCCAAAAAAGAAACGTGATGAGTTGATCTTAACACGCGCAGCTCACTACGAAACCACTATCACGCCGCATGAATAAAAATTCATTCGTCTTTTGTACCAAACATCTCAAAGAGTCGGCACAGTGCAATCTATTCATTTCTTCGACAGTAGTTTGCTTCTCAGCTAATAAACTTTCCAACAATGATAGCTCAATCGGTTATAGCGTGGGTCTAATAAGGCCAGGGTCGCAGATTCGACCCCTGTTAGCCTCACATTGTTTTGCATCCGATTTAATAGACAAACTTACTCTTTCGCGGACGCTCAACATCATAAAAATATAGTCGCACGCCCTTTCACATTACTAGTAATATCCTCCTTTTTGTAAATGTAATAGCAACGGCCTCGGTAGCTCAGTCGGTTAGAGCGTGGGTCTAATAAGCTCAAGATCGCAGGTTCGTTCCATGCGGGCGGCAGATAGTTTTGTGTCTGCTTTGATACGCACATCCATTTTTGCAAGAAAAGTATCTTTATTTGGATGTATTCATAATAGAGTAGCGTACTAATTTGCTTGCTTGAAGCTGTTTTGTGTTGATAATCGGCTCCCCATTACCTTGAAACTATAATTTTACGGAGTTTTGTTATAATTGTGTTATCACGCATTGTGCAACTCTTTCGATACAAGGTCTCCCTGATTTTTTTCCTCAGACTTTTGGTAATCATTCAAAAGCTCAAATTTCGGCGATTACAGTGCAATGCTTGCTTCCTGAAAAGGCCCTTTAAGTGCGCTTATCATTGATAATAGATTTGAGTTTCATACTAGGACAATTTTTGTCGGCAAGGATGTATGAATTGCTGTGTAGATGGGATTCTGCAACATTCACAACAAAAGGCATCGACGTAGCAAGGGTTCGTGTATGATATTTCTACGGACTTTTAATAATATTTAATAGCATAAATTAAGCTGATCCCCGAGCACGGGAGCGCATGTGGCGCAATGGTTAGAGGTGCCCTGCGTCGCTTACGAGGTCTATGGCTCGATCTCGCACTCATGGCTTTCCAAGCCGTCCATCCTTCCGGTTTCGGTAAAATGGTATTAGACTGGTCTCAGTCTTGTCTAGGGGTGAGCAGCACTGACTCGATACAACGAGAGGCCAGCGCGAGTCATTGTAAAGGCTAGTTATGCACTCAATCAACTCAAACGATGTTACAAATTGAACACGAATGCATGGTGCATACCTGAGGGATTGATCAACTCCGAAAGCTACATCCTTTCGTCTGAAGCAAATTTGGTTTTCGAAAAGATTTTCACTGAGCGCTAAAAGAGCTGAAAAACAAACTATGCTTTCCTGGGCTTAGTCTGCTTAGGTTTAGACTTAGTAGTGGGCTAATTTAGCAATTTAAAGCGAAAAGAAAAACGCATTCCGATATCACAAAGTTTTTCAACAGCACTTGTACGGAAAACTCGAAATTTTTGCGAAGCTGAGGAGAAATTCTTTCAGATAAACAATGAAAATGCGCGCGATAATGTGCGTTGAATGCGAAACTCAGTTTTATTTTTGCTCCTACAATGTGCTTAGAAAAGGCTTTCTAGAAAACAGACACAGTGTTGGAGTTGCCAAGATTTATGCTGTCGAATGATTGCTGAAGTTTAGGGACAAATTGAGAAAGACCTTGCCCCCGAATAGCCAAGAATTTGTCTTAATGACAGAATACTACCGGAATTCTATGCATAATAACAATAGTGATTTAGCTTATCCTAAAGTGATAAGTATGTTGTCACAAAGCTTATCTATTTCCTAAATCCATTGCATGCAAGAGAAAAGTGGTAAGAATAGTGTTGTTTTCATGACGGTTTATAACAAAGCGCTATTATCATGCAGATTCGGACGAAACTTCTTCAAGCTGTTTCGACTTGACTGCTTTCTTCAGTTTCTTCTGCCTTATAATTGAAAATTTTTTAGAGCGATATTCCGCAGCCACTATTTATCACTACACGTGCTAGACATGTTGCCATTACATCGCTTCACTTTTTTTTTCTCTTAGGGCAACTTCTTAGAAGAAAGAACTGTAGTCCAAACTTCTTTCTTGGTAAACCGAGATGTACTCGAAATATTTTCGAATCCTTCGCCCAAAATCTGCAGCCTTTCCTCCAGATCAGTTTGATTTGCTATTGATCAATGTGTTCGTGCCGAATGTTCTCGTCAAATAAGATTCGTTCTCTTACTGGGCACTAGCAAAAGTTGTATCCCTAGTTGAAGTTGAATTGTATGTTGATTTCACTGCTAATCTCTAATTAGGCGTTGAAGTCGTCGGCGATAAATTTTTTGGTTGACTTTCTGCTACGATAAGACTCGTATGAAAAGACGATTTGACAGACAGAGTTGCACGAGAAAGTCCACGCTTTCAAAGTTGTATGAGCAAACAATTTCTCAGCGAGGGAAAAGCTCCGTTATTAAGCCAGTGTGTGTTGATTTTATTGCTTTTCTCCCATGACAGTCGAAAATGGAATTTGACATGATCTGTGATTCTGAGAGCATTAAGAAGAATATCGCTTGAGTGGACTTTCTGCTGCTTTAGGTGAAGGACAAGAAATAGGACAATTTGTTGTTCTGATTTGTTACCAACTGTACCACCAGTCTGCTGAATCATCAGCTGTTCCTGCATGTTGTTTGAGAAATAATACTTACTTTTTTGAATATAACAACTGATAATATGATAACATGTTTTGAGTCTTTTATAAGGTTTAGTATGGCACTATAGCACTAGACCTGTAAAGTACTGAATTTCATCACTTAAGTTGGGGTGATTTGTTATTCGGCGTCGATTTTTCCATAACTAAAGGTATGTCCCCCAAGATCGGCTGAACCGAAAGGCACACTACTACTGATGAGTCTGGAAACGAAAAATAGATCTGCTCAGTAGTGCATAAGTGCCATATCAGCCCTCATAAAAGGTTCAAAACTTGTTACCATAATATCAGATTATTATTTTTTTGAGCGAAGTTTATAAAAGCAGTCGATTGAAGAGATATTCCAACTAATTTTGTTAGGGCTCCCCCAAGTTGGTACTCCAGGCAGCCGCTGGATTTTATGGATTTGAGGAAGGTTTGTCACTCTTCGAACAGGTTCTCACCCGAACGCCGCTGATCTGTTGCGCTCGCTTGGTTTTGTGTGGGTATGATCGTGGAGATATCGAACTTCATCCTAATTTAAGTTTCACGTACAGGAATTACTTCGAGTTATCAGAGGATGGTAAAGCGTTAAAAAGGGAACTCCAATAGAGTAAAACAAATTGTTATCAAGGCACATTTTGCCGTCAAAATTCAATGTTCTGTGGAACATTAACTCAGCGCTAAGAATAATATAGGAAGAGTGCAGCAGAGCGTAGAAATAGCGGCCTGTAACATAGGCCAACCAACGGATCTCAGTGTGTGTTCAAGCTTCTGCTGTGGACCACGGACTGGTATTTTCACACACACAGCCATCACGAACTTCTTTTCGAACTGCCAGGTAAACATAAAGCATTAACCGATACTTTGCATGTTGTTATCGGCTCGGTTTTATCGTTACACATTTAGCATATTTCAAAAGCTAATGTAAATCCACGTAAATGTAATGGCAACAGAAAGCTGGTAATGATATGCTACATAGCATTGAAATCAACGCTCATTCCTATGGACATTTAAAGCGTTGCCATGACAACCGGATCCAGATCGAATTCTCCATACCGATAAGAACCCAATCACACCTGATAATAAACATTTTCGTGAATCACATTCATCTATGCAACTAAAGAAAAGAAAAAGACTGAAAGGCGAAACAACTCACCTAGGCCAATTGAGGCTATCGATATCCCAGCAGTAATTACGCTGCATGGATTGGGTATAAACAGTGCACAAACTACAGCCATGCAAGCGAGTGTTAGCACACCTGTCTAAAAAGAACGGAATCTCATAAAATCTAGTGGAATGAAGTGAAACAAACGGAACACTAGTGCTGTCATGCACAACATCTAATCTTTGACAAGAAATCTAAGACTTTTTCGCTTATTTTCATTTCATCAAGTGTAACAATGAGCGAACCTGCAAGGCTCCTGATTTCGAACTCAACATTTGATCCACAAATATTTCGTTTGGCTCCCAAACCCTAGCATTCAGATCTGGATACCTGTAGGTTAGAGAAATCAGAAGCTTAGTCTTAGGAGCACGGAACGGTAGATTTATTGCACAACTATAGACAAGTGCTCACTGTTTTACTAAAGACCGCCACTGATTCATCAGCTCGATACGAGTTTCCCATTGCGATGCGTTCTCATAAGCAACAGTGAGTCAGAAACGTTCAACAATAGGTGTATCACTGAAAAGTAGGAAATGCGTTTTCAAGGAAATTTTCGGTCGATATCAGTAAACTTCTTCATCAACCATGATATCTCCGAATGTGCTGTATCATTATGGCAAATAATTAATTGCTCTCTCATTGTTTTGGCACATTTCAACTCAAAAAGGCCTCATTGAATTCTACTCATTCATATATCATCATATACTGACGAGTAAACTCTAATAATTAGAAATCTAAATTTTATTAGAAAAGTGCTACATTGTCATTGTAGCACTTTATGTTCGCCACGTGATCACGCCGCTTGCCACCCGAAAAATTATTGTGGCACATAAAGTGTTAAACCCAGCAAAGCTGAATTTATAGTCGAAATTACAATCTTTGACTTTCATTTACTGCCAATTCTTTTTCATGACAGAATACGATATGAAATACTAACACAGAGATGCCGAAATGCGGGCAAACCTCTAAACCTAGAAAGGATTGAAAGATGCGATTACTCTGCTCGGGGGTTAAAATATTACCACCCACTACACTGTCGAAGCCCTTGCCAACGGAATTAATCTGGAAGGTACCGTCATCAGAAGAAAGAAAGTATAGCTGATGCTATAGTCAAAATCATAAGGTATGATCGTTATTTCTTCAACTGCTATTCATTTTCATGACAGAATAAGATGTAAAAATGCAACCAGAAGAATTTTGTGACATGAGCAGAATTTGCAGCCTGTGGTGACTTTGAACCCTCAATTACACTGCTTGCCGTTTCCACAAATGTCTAGGTAAGTTCGTCCCATCTAGGTGCTGCGCACTATGCTTACCTATCATTTCGTATTCACATGAAGGTTTCCCAGTGTTGATAAACCATCGATTTCAAGAAGTCGTTCAATCTAGTGGATGTCGGCCTGAACTACACATAACAATGAGTGAGTGATAATTATGGACGAA